GAGGCAGGGCGCGTGGCAGCCAACCCGGAAGAGAATCAACCGCGACAACCATCGTACATGACGAACAGCGCGCTACACGAAGGCCTGCTGGCGGTAACCGTCAGCGGAATCAACACCGTCAGGTCGCCGAGAAACTTGTTGCCCGTGAAGAGCACCAAAGCCGAAAAAGGGCTGCAGAGAAGAGGATGGAGACGGCAAAGGCTGAGCTTGCACTGTTTGATCAGGTGATGCAGATTCCATCGTTTGAGGAGAATCCGTTTGCTGCAATTGAGGGGCATTTGAACGGGACGATGGCATTCCTGCAGCCGCAGACTCCCGACGTGGGGCGACGCAAACTGGAGGAATAGAGGTCAATTGCGTCGTGAGTGGCTGCGACCGAGAGCGGAGCGTGCGTGTGAGGTGGCGCAGGGGCAAACGAATGCTTCTGCCGGTAGTGATGGCGCTGCGTGTGTGTCATGCGCATGAGACTCGAGTAACTGCGATGATTTAATGAAAGGGGAGGGGACATCCATGACGTCTTCACGCTGTCATGCGTGCGTGCCTGCATGCATGCGTCTCACCGCGTGCGGATGGTTTTTTTTTTTTTTTTTTACGACTTCTTTCACTTTTTTCTTTTTTTTTTCTTTTATGGTGAGTCTTCATTCATCCATGTCACTTGTAGGAGGAGGAAAGGAAGAAAAAAAAAAAAAAGGAAAGGAAAAGAAAGGAATTACAACAACAACAAAAACAGCAACACACACACACAGTTGACGGAGGGCATTGGCGGCATTTAATTTTGTACTTGTGCGGGGCGAGCACGACAGGAGGGGGGATTTACCACGACGCAACACGGGAGTGTGCGTCTTTGGACTTCATAAGTCACTTCATACTATTTTTTTTATTGTTTCTTTCTGTGTGTGTGTGTGTGTGTGGGACGTTAGGGGAGGAGACGAGTTTTTTTGTTGTTGGTGGGGATGTCTGGCCACCTGCACTGTGAACATGACCGAAAAGGGCTTAATGCGACGCAAGCAAACATGTTTTTTTCATTTCAAACGAGTGAAGACGACAGTTCCACGTGCGTCCAAAACAACAGCATTCATTCCAGCAACACGAATGCCGGCGATAACGCTGGGAGCAATCATCAGGACTCTCTTGTGAACATTCAGCGGGCATTATATGCAGCCGACTGTCTGGCGTCTCTCTCCGCCACCTCCACATGGAGCGGCGAATACCTAAAGAGAGAAACCACTTTATCCACATCGAACAGTGGTGGTGACGATGCTTGTACGGCTGCGGCATACTTGCAGGTCATTTTTTCGGCCATTTTGTCCGTGGCGGAATCACAACAGATCGATTTGGAGTGCGCTGTTCGTTGCTGCATTCGCTCTCTTGCATTAGAGGAGGAGTTATTGCGGGGCGATGCTTCTTTGATGCACCACTCTTTTTCGGCGTCTGCGGGGACGGACTCGGTTGACTCGAATAGGGCCCATCACGTGGATGACGATAAACACTCTTATCAGAGACATGAAAAGGAGGGCAAACAACAACAACAACAACAAGAGGAGCAGCAACTTCTCCCAGGCTTTCAGATAGATTGTAAGGGACACAAGGATGAGTTTCCTGCAGAGAAGGGGACGATGGGGCAAACGAAGGATGCTGCTGCCATCAACGTGAGGTCAGACCGGATGCATGCTGGTGTAGGAATGAATGTGTCTCTTGATGGGGCAGATGGTGAAGGGAGGGACCACGTGAAGGATCCCAACGTCAAGGTTATCCCTATTTGTGATAGTGACCCCTTATCTCCTCTGGTTTACGGCACAACTGCCTTTGGGGACATGGCGTCCGCACCTCGTTCCACCTCACCGCCTCCGCCAATTGCAACGATTCCTACGGGGGAGGAGAGTTACAGTCTCCTTGCGCCTCCATCATGCGTGGCGGAAATGTCATCCAAGGAAATATCACGGAGTGGGAGTCCCGGGAATGCGGCAGGCCGCCACGCAAAAGAACCACACTCACGGCAGATGCAAGAGGTGATGGCGGCGGGGGTTAAATCCTCCAATGAAGTGCCAACACTGCACGCTTCCAATGCATTTGCAACACATTTCTCCCCACGGAGGAGAACGGAGACAAGTGTTCATGAGGAGAAGGAGGAACAACTAAGCTTCAGAAGTCGTTTAGAGGCCATCATGCCAAAGGAGCCTCCACAGGAACTGGCAGGATACCGCACAAGTCATGTCACTGGTGTATCTAGCAAGGAAACTATTGGTGTGGACGCAGCAGATGCCTCTGAAAAGGAGGGGAATGTGACTTCCTGCTCAGCTGCGTCTGTTGCCGCGGGGCCGAATGCATATGCGGCAGCAACAGCAGCTGCTGAGGGAAATTCAGTCATGGGGGAAAAATGGCTTGCAGCGGAGTCGTCACTAGAAAAGGGATTCTTCACACCAGAAGGCATAGAAGGAAGAAGTGTTGTATTTCCCCCAACGACGGAATATGTGCCATCTCTTTTAGTCATGGATGATTCTCTGGGTGCAGGTGACACGACGAACAGAGTACAAGAAGAAATTCCACATGTCTCCTCTGATGTTTCCCTTTCCACAACAGCACCGAAAATATCCGGATCGCCGCCATTTCCCAAAATGACACCGTCTTCGTTTTTATTTTCCAACACAGAGTTACCGACAAGTGAATCGTTGCTTCTTAATACCGACAATACGGCTGTCTCATTACGGGTGGATGTGAAGAATGATATGGGCATATTATCTACCTCTGGCAATGTTGTTTCATCTGACACCAGAGATACTTTTCACCAGGGTGCAGAGACAGGGAGTCCTTCTTGTGCCAAACCACATTCTTCTCGAGCGGAGGAGGCGTCATTTTTATCCTGGGTCCTTCCTTTGGGTGTTACGGGCATCTGCTCTGAGGAACATGTACGGGAAAAGGAGGGAGACACGGTGGGTGTTTCTTGGAAGGAGGGTAAAATCTCTATAGATATTCCTGCAACGGTAACAAATCCAGTGCCTGTAAACTCTATAACTTCGCCATTGTTACAACAGAACCGTTTTTACTGCCAACCACCACCACCACCACAACAGCAACAACAGCAGCAGTCGGATGTTTCCGCGGGTTCTGCCGCGACAGTTACGGTATCACCATTTCTACCATGTGAGGAATCCTCCCCATCATTTCGCTGGATGGATGACATTGTTGTTGCCCCAATGACGATGACAACAACGACGACCACCACCCTTCGGTCTGTGTTGCCTCTCTCTGAGGTGTCAGCGCAGTCGACAATTCAACAAATGGACGAGAACGAGAAGCGTGAAGTTGGCATCTTGTCAAGTTCAGGACCAGTGGAGTCTGTGGGAAGGACCCCAACGGAGGAGACGTCATTGCCGTTGAAAAACGAATACCTTCTCTTGAATTTGTGCCACGCCGACGAAGAGGGCGGTGGTGCGGCGAAAACGTCAACTCCGTCTGCGACAACCGCCGTTGCACCTTCCACGTTACCGCAGGGGGATTCCCATGCCATGAGCAACCATGCAACTGTGCCCAGCGAATGCAACCGCAGTGCAGGCATCGATCGCAGTATGCTTGAGAAAAACTTAAAAAATATGCGGCAACCGGTCGCAGCGAGGGTGCAGCGTGATGAACCGTCTCAAATCCCATCATTACATGAGGACAGTTGTCAGGATAACGAGTCCAATGAGATGATGGTTCCGTATGGACTGTTGCTTCTTCAGCAGTTGCTGTATGAGTGATGGAAAGAAGAAAACAATGAGAGAGAGAGAGTGTGTGTGTGTGTGTGGAAGGAGGGAAAGACGGAAAGAGGGGATGTAAGACGGAGGGATGCGTATATGTTTATATATTTATATTTATACGGAGATGTAGATAGATAGATAGAGAGAGAGAAAAGAAACAAAACAAAACAAAAAAAAAGAACACACAGACACACATGCGGGAACTATCGACATTGATTGCTCCGGGGACGTCTTTTTCTTCTTCCTCTTTTTTTTTATTTTTATTTCCTTGTTGCGTATTTACACTAATTTAGTTGAGGGTGGTGTTGGTGGCGGGTGGTGGGCGCATTAGGGCTGGCGTATCCTTCTGGCAGCGTTTGATAACATCTGCATGTTTTTTTTTTTTTTTCTTTCTTTTTCTCTCCTTTCGTTCTGTCCATATCGTTTATATGAGAAGTGTGTGTGTGGGGTGGTGGTGGTACAGTGGTGGCTGCTTGAGACGGAGCTGCAGGGGCTTGTAAAATCTCCTTTTATTATTATTAATTTTTTTTTTTTCCTTTAACACCGTTTTTATTTATTTGTTGTTTGTTGCGCCTACCGCTGGAGTTCTGTCATATCGATGCTTTTTCCTTTTTTTTTTTTTTTTTTTGAAAAAATTCTTTTTTTTTTTTTGTCCCCTACAAGCCTGACGTGCTGAAAGGTGCGTTGTGCTGGCAATTTGCCTCCTGCAGCAGCAGCACTGCGGCCGGTCGTGGGTATATACATACATACAGACAGAAATACGGACATAGAGACACACGCACAGTCATCCTATTTCTACTTCACTTTCTTCGTTTCATTGCGTGCTGGGCGATCGCGTCAGTCTTTTTAGTTTTTAGTTTTTAGTTTTTCTTGGCGTGTGTGTGTGTGTGTGGAAGTGTGTTTAAAAACAACGTGAGGAACTCGACGCCTTCCGTCTGCTCAAATTTTTTTTTTTTTTTTTTTTGTCGATATCCCTGCAACCAACATGCCATGCGAGGGCGGCGTTGGGCTTCACATTCCCATGGAGCGTGCGGAGGTCCTTTGCGCCGTTGGCACCGGTCTTGTGCGGCCGTGGGAGAGGCGAATTGTTTGCTACGCACTGAAGCACGTCTCTGCTGCCGCAGAAGCCGCCTTACCGTCCACCGAATCGCATGGGAGCAGCGACGGAAGCGGCAGCGACGAGAACACGGAGGGAAGAAATGCCTCCATGGAGGAAATTTCCGCTGCGGGTCCCAACAAACAGGAAGAGCAAAAAAGGCAGCGGCGAGAGGAAACAGGGGGCGGTGAAGGTGTGGGCAGCCACCTTTGGTCCATGTTCTTTGGGGCATCGAAGAACACATCGGCAGATGCGACGAATGAAGAAGACTGCAATGCAGACTTTTCTCATTATTCAGGACCGCAGTTTTATCTCCTCATGGAGATGGTGCAGGACGCCATGATAGTGGCGAAAGAGACCAGCCAATCGCCTGCATCTGTTACAACTTCCACATGTACTTTTTCGCGACGGATGAGCTGGAATTTTGATCTTTTGACGGCTTTATTAAATTTGCTGATATTTCACGGCAATGTGCCGGCTGTGGGCCGATTTCTGAGTGTAATTCTTAGCAGTTACGTCATGGCTCTCTTATTTCACCGGTGTTGTCATGACCGTAACGGCGGCGGCATCGTACGAGTGCAGGCTGTCCGAGAAGAAGACG